AACTCCAATGATCATTAATCAGATTTCTTGAACTGGAAACACAGCTTCGATTCGATTAACCGATGCTTAGGGAAATCAGTTGCAGTGACATTTGCAAATGGCTTGCTTGTGTATTTAGGAAATATTTATCAACTCTGTTAAATCATTTCTAGTCAGGCGAATTCCTTGAGCACCCAACAAGGAGACCAGGGTTGATTTCCAATAACTTTAAAATTAACTAATTAACAGAAGTATTTCTGGGCATGCAAAACAAGTAGAATGATATCTCTGTCCTTCAGTGACGAATTTCCAAGTAAACTACTTTAATGCGGGAGCAAAAGTCGTGGATCGAATTTAATACAAAGAAAATTGTATACAAGATTTCAGAAACTGCTATAAACAAGAATTGGTTCTATCTCATACAAAATTAGCTGTCTTATATAAGCCAATTAACACTAACGTTGCCAAGCCATGTAAAAAGAGGGAACTGTGCCAAAGCAATAAAGAGCAAAAGATAGTGATGCTTGCTTGAATCATAGCTCCTCACCTCTGCAAAAAGGACTCTTTTCATAGTCTTCACCAAAAAAACTCCCATGCATAAACAGGTCCAAGGCATCAAAAAATAGTACGAGTAACTCAACACAATCCGTCCAAGTACGGCCAAGCACAACCCTGTGAAAGCATAGCCAGCATACGCCACCATGTCCAGCAATGGTGCCTCACCACCACCCAAGGAAAGCAATGTTACTTTCAGTAGTGCAACTTGCATAAACCAGCCAAGCAATCCCTTGATAAACAACCAGTTTAGAGCTTCAGGACTAAACCTGATAGGCAATAAACAAAAAACAATTTTAAAATACCATGAGTTTCTAACATTGAAGGATTGAAATAACAAGAACATGAATAAATCTGAATTGAAACCATGATGAAGTTCAGGAAGCTACAGACAGGCCATCACACATTCAAACATGCAGTGATAATACAATCTTGGCCTCGAAAATAGTTCATTGTTTCACTTTAATTTACAAATATAAATTCATCTGTCGTGTATTTATATAGAAAAGATAAAAGGAAAAGCAAAAGAAACTTGTGCATCAACAGGGGGTTAATGATTTCTCTTTAAAAAACAGCTAAATTTGGCCTCATCATGAGAACGGTGTGGGCTGCTGGAAGAGTTTTGGTCCCAATGCAGCATACCTCTTTGGTCATACGTAATTATCCAACTTACAGGTCAAATGTATAATCTAGGAAAATAATGTTATTTTGAGCATCATCTTCGATGAATAAGCAAGCACTTCTCTTGCGTTTAAGCCTTAAGCAACTAGAAGGTACTTCGATAAAGACCATGAACAAGGGAAAAACTAAATGCGGCTACAGTATACTACCCAAAAGGAACCAATACATTGTGTTGAAAGTGGACAAGGAAGAAGGAGCAAATAGATTGGGTACTAAATAGAACTCTTTTTCCACAACTGGGGGACTAAAGTAGAAATTACAAACTAATAGTAGGATACTGAATTGCAATAAGAGGAAAATAACAGCAAAAAAAACAAGAAGTTAAGACAAAATGCAATCTTCGTTCTCATATCATAATGATTTCCCATCACAGGATTAATATGAATAAAAGAGGAAACTGCTTAGAGTAATATCTAGAAATTTCACAAAACTTACTTTCCTTGAAGACCCAATGAGAAGCCAGCTAGTACCACATAGGTACCAAACGCCATAAATGGAATGTACAGGTCCGGTGCATTTATGTCATAGATTGGGGGTTTATAAGAAAGCCTGCCTCCTACTGGTTCAGTTATTCTGGTCCAATGGCCCTGAAAAAACAAAAGAGCGGGCAGGGGTAAGGAGTAAATTCTATGGCAGGATAAT